AGGAACAGGAGCCTCGGGAGGAGGCAGAAACAAGTGGGAGAACTCGGCCCTTTTGTTAGGAAGGCTGGAGAGAGGATCCAGTTGCGACACCAAGCGCTGTGCTGAACTCTGTTCAAGGGGTACGGCACAGCACTCTCAGGAGAGCGACCAGAGCTCCTCCTGTAACTGCAGAGCAAAGCAACCGCCACGTCTAGGTGCTGCTCGCTCGCTGCACTGTAATCGGCACACGGACCCGCTAAGGTATTTTTCCCAGCTGGGTCAGGAGCTGCAAAGCGTAAAGCTCTCGCGCTCCCAAAGGTTATATGGGACTGGTGGCAAAGCACCAATCCCCAAAAGGATCGGTTCCCAAGAGCAGTTCTGTAGCAGGCCTGTACAATGTAGCTGAGGCACAGACGGCAGCGCTGAGCACCGGGGTTTGCCACTCTACTAAAGAGCAAAACTCAGGGCTGAGGTTGGAACGCGCTCAGTGCTACAGGATGCAGCGCTCCCGAAGAAGTCCGATTACTCAGACAAGTGTTGAGCAATAACCTACAGTAAATATGAATCATCTAGATGCCCATGAGGCCATCTTCCACATAACAGGAACTGCAAAGCAGGGAATCGACAGTGATGTTCTCTGCTCCTTTCCAGAGGGGAGCAAGTAACCGCAAACACGGGAAGACCAGTGCTGCTGAGTGCAGGCAGTTACAGGAAAGCCACTCTAAGAACAAAGGACGTGCAGAACCATATTCCCCGATACAATAAACTGAAAACCCAGAGAAGGTTGGAAAGACCTTGCTAATGCTCGGTGAGGCCTTCTGGGTTTTTTGGGGGGGTGAGGAGGGGGTGGCGTATTTAGGGGTTTTGTGGTGGTGGTGGTTTTTTTTAAGTGATGGAAGAAGATGACATTTTTCTCCATTTTCAAGTGACCAGATCACACATAACCCGGGATTTGAAGGGAGAAAACCGAAGTGACTCAGTAGTAATTCTCTGTCACACAAGCACACTGTGGCACAATTGAAAACAGCAGCACTGAAGAGGGGGGAGAGCTGGCAGGAGGGAAGAAGATGCAAAGGAGATATTTAAGTAACCCGGTATTTTTCTTTAATGACTGATGTTACTGTAGTAATAGGAATTACTGGATAAGTCCAGAGAATAACGAAACACAGCCAAGCATTATGCCATTTAACAAAGTGTTGCATCAGAAGGTATTAACAGTGAGTTTCAAAACACAGAAAGTACCAAGAGAGGAGAGGAAATAACTCTCCAGGCCTTCAAGAACACCTCAAAGACAAATTTCGGAAATCTCCTAACAAAAGGGGACGCCGCTCAGCCAACCATTAAATCCCTTCCCAAGCAGCAGTTCACTCACTAAGGCAAAGACAACACTGCTAGAACAGAACTGAGCCTCAACCTGACCTCAGCTTTTCCCAAACACCTGAGCACAGCCTGTGAGAGTTTTACAGAGCTCCACTACGCATTATCTGCCTTTTAGTGGACAGGGATACATGACAACTAAAATAGCTTAGAGTAGGGAACAGTATCATGGGTGCCCTGTCTTTGTCCGGCTCTGAACAGATACAGAGGGCTTTCCACAGGGGAGGCACGAGAGGATCATGGCAACTGCGGAACCAGAAGCAATCGCTGCTCTAACCTTGATGCTGGGCACGGGATCTTGTAAGTAAACATCTAATACCTACACAGTTTCAGCTACACAGGGAATCATTCCACCAGCTTCACAGCCTGCTTCAGGCTCCCTGGGTTCCACATGGAATGCTGTAAGACAAAAGACCACACAAATCTTTACATGATGTAGATGCTGTGAAAACCACAAAA